AGTGTTTAGTTTAAGATGATAACTTACTAGCCAAAGTTATGCTTAGTGGGGCCCTGAATCCATCTATAATTGTGATGTTGGCACCAGATGACCAGTGGCACATATAAACATGTTTAGAGCTGCATATAACTATAATCCTAAACCAATATGAGAAATGTCAAAGCAGAAAAGAAAGCTGGAAACAAAAAGGACCCTGCAGACTGTGTGAATATGTAATTTAATGGTGTTATTAGTATCATTGCTCCATTAAGGCACAAGCTGATCCATAAGTTGCTTAAATGTAAGTTTGTTATTAAAGAATCGATTTATTATGCAGCAGAAGATTGCATAACTGAATTACAGATGTGTCCTTTTATGCTACTCGCAAAAACGACAAATTAAAGAATAAATGGTCCAGTGATAAATAAAAATGACTTTTTTTGGAGGACCTTGGTGGTGTTCAGCAATTTTAAAAGCAAATATGAAAACATCATTCAAACTGATAACTGCAAATCTCAAAAGGTCAAAAAAAAGTACAAGGTTTCAGTGCTTTAATCAGTTTTTGGATTATATTATCATAAAAGGGAATACGAACGGTAAAATGGCCTTGAAATCTTTTGCAGCTGTAAAAAAAAAAAAAACACTCTGACCCTAATTTCCCTCTATCTGCACATTAAACTCCATGGGATCTTCAAGGAGTGGTGCTACCCTTTTCCAAGAGTACTGAGTGGTGCAAAAATTAAGTTTGCAGCCACGTTACCACGGTGATGTACGCTGGCAAGAAGTGAACCGCTGTTGTCCCCCTGAAAATAAAAGTGAAGTTACCTCGCTAACCTCAAATCCTGTTTTGGAGTACAGGCCTCTAACGCTGTTAGCAGATGAACCAGCATGAGTCACTTTGGAAGCAGAGGAGTTGTTGCACTATATATTCTTGTTGCTCTTTTAGGTTGTAAATTTTGTAAGTCAAGATTGCATACTGGGTCATTCTATCGCAAATCATCAATTTTTTTTTGCAGCAATTTCCATTTGATCCTGTCTGATTTGCATGAAAATGTTATGGCATACAATATAGATATTGATAAAGATATAGGTGAAATTTTACTTTGATATATCAAGCACTTTCCAGGTTACAATGTGTTAATATATTGCCAGTCGATCCACTTTCAGACGGCTTTGTTGCACATTGAAGTTTGAGTCTATGTTTTAACAACAATATTTTAGGACCTATTTAAAATAAAAACCTCCAATTTGTGTTGTTATTTCTCATTGTGCCATCGAATCAAAACCTGCAATATTGAACATGTGGATTAAATAATCTCTAATAATGTGTGAGTTAAAAAATGAAAAATCCATTAAAACCACCATGATCTCGTCAAATTTAGAAAACTACCCCCCAAAAAAAAGAATAATGGTCAATTTCTGATTCATATGTAGCTGCACGTCACAATAGCACAAACCAAACTTACTTTTTTAATATGAAAAACAATGTAAATTAAAAACAAAAATGAAAAAAAGCTATTTTTGTTTAATCAACTGAAATAATCAAGACAACCAATTCGATATTTTTTATATTTAAGGTAGTGACTCCAACTAAAAACAATAAGCTGTGATTACATACATCAGTTTAGTTCTGAATGTCGTGTTTCCCTGCTGAAGCGTGAAACCTTTGCAATGCTGCCCTCTATAGGACACATTTATACTGCTTTCATTTGAACTTCCTGTGGTGGATGCACATTTTTTGTGGTATATGCAAATGTTGTCAATGTGATTTCTTGTACAAACATGTCTTTCTGTGTGAATGTTTTTTCTCTGTTTGCCGAATTGGTTTCAGTCATGAAATGTGCGTCAGTGCTATTGTGTAGCATGTTAACAACTAGCATTTTCATAGCAAAAATACAACAGTGCAGCATCCAACAAAGTGAAAATTTTGGATTATTAAGAAGAGTTGCATTTTCCTACTTGACATGCACATAATATTACATATAACATAGCCTTATAGCTTCTTCTTGTCTTGACTGAAAGTCTCTGCCTAGCTTTTTATTTATTTAGACATAGTATAGTGTTAGAAAGATAACATAACAGTAAATGGGCCTCAGTATCTGCAACTCAAAGTGGACTTAATCCCCTGTTTTATTTGACTCATAAGACTTTCTGGCAAGACCAACAACATGTTAGAAATCCAAACTCATAATTGCCTCATCAGATTGAAACCAGTTGTAAAGCAGCTGCAAAGTACAAACAACTGTCTGTCATTGTGCGTCAGATTTAATGTGACACCATTAAAACCTTTTGTTTTGCCGTCTCCTCTCGAGAGTCATTTCATTCCACGTTGATGCACAAAAACGTCAGTTGATGCACGCTTAAGAGCATTTCATACATCTATGCATAATTACTGGTGAACAACACACAGTGCTGCTGTTCTGTGCAGCTGCGCGGACTCGCAGCTCCACGGCCATTTTCAGCAAATACTCAGACCAGCCAGCTGCGAGTTTTATCCACCAAAATGGCAGAGATGCCAAGTAAACCACCGGCCAGTGAGGATAAAGTGGAGCATTTTGACATGCAGGGAGATTTTAAAAGAGGATTCTGAATGAATAGAGCAAATAAATATAATAAATGGGCCTTATGCTTATTGAATTCTAACTATGACCCCTTTTGAGCAATAATCTCAACAACAGTATCATGCTATATGTAATAATATATGCACAATGATATTTTGCATTTGACTTTGTTGAACTGATTTTTGTTTTTGTGCGTTGCTGCTGTTGTTGTGTGCATTCTGTTACAATAAATCCACTCCCAATAAAAAGTAAAATAAAAAAATGAGGGTGTATTATTGTATTAATGGTTATTTATACACTGGCATGTGCCCTACATCTGCTCTGTTTACAGCTACCGAACAACCACTCCGCTGCCTCGTGCCTTCGCAGAAGGCAAGCAGAGCCGGTGACGTCATCGGGTTGAGAGCACGTTGAAATGTGCATGCAGGGCCTCGCGGTTGCCGTAAGTACGAAGCAAACGCGCAGGACAAAACTCCCCTCTGCTGATGTGGGCGCTGGTAAACAGACACGGTGGACAAGACAGTGGAGATATACTGCATTTCTTGGCACTTAAAGTGTTTAAACTAATGCAGACCCTCATTGGGCCAAATAGAACTGTCTTGTATTTTCAACTGTATATGTTATCAAAATGCATTGTGGTCAAAAGTGATTCATATGAATAAAACACAACATAGCTGTAATACATGTGTTGTTATTTTATCTAAATCTTACTTTCAATGAACTGAAATACAAAAAAAACAACTTCATATTTGAGGGTAGCTTTCTTCTAATCAAGAATACAATATTTTTAAACACTTTAAATTTAGAATAACACAAACTCAGCACAAAACTTCATTGAAATGCCTTTATTTATGTCTTACCCATGTTTTAATAAATGACCTTTTCAACACTGATTCTTCAATGGCATTGGCTATTACTTATGACACATAGCCAATCAGATACTACTGTGGGTGGGATTTTGTTGGAGGCCACCAATGAGTGGCGACTACAGCCAGAAGTCACTGCATCAAAGGTAAAATAGCACACTTTATAAATGAATTAATTTGATTCGAAGTCAATTTAAAAAGTATAAAGATATTGATAATCAGCAAAATGCTAAATATTTGATCAATTTATTGAACTCTATATAAGTTTTTAATAGCTGGTCAAAGTCTGGATGGAGTTTGTGCAGTTGGTTAAAGTTGACTGATTTTTTTTTTTTTTTTTTTTTAAATGAACCAATGAATAATAATATGTAATGGAAGACATAGTCCACTTACTTGCTAAAAAAAGTTGTTGTTGTTTTTTTGGATGAAGCTTTCTCTGGAAAATAATTATTTAAAAAAAACAAAAGAATTTTAGTTTCACTTCCAAGATCAAGAATTTACACTATACAACTTTCTAAAAATATTCTTGTCCCTGTTGGTGTGTTGAACTACTCACACTGCTGATGACAAAAATCAGAATAGCAGAAATAGTAACTAAAAACAGTTTTAATATATATTTTTACATATATGTTGTAATTTATAGGTCCAACAATGAACTCAAAAGATAAATAAATAAAAATAAATAATAAAAATGTCAACAAGCTTTGACTCATGCTTTTAATTGTTTCTAACACTCTGGATGTAATTTGCTTAGTTGGTAAGCAGTCATTACAACAGATATTTTGAAAATGAAGCAATAAATAATGATAATAAACCACTATAGCTACTTCCACAATGTACCTCTGCCTTCCTTTGCAGATTGTGTTTATAAAGAAAAAAAAACATCATAAAAGGGCTTACTTCCAAGGTCAACAATTAATCTCCATAACAACTCGCATAGATGAGAATGAAAACAATAGTTAATATTATTAGCAGCAGTGCATGACGGGTAATAAGAGGACCTTGAGTTGAGACTTGCTTTCTGTCAATTAACTTTCCAAATCACAGGATAAAAACATTGCTACTATTCACACTGATGATGATGAATATAATAATTATTGTCAATACAATCAGTAGCTTTAATAACTGAGACACTACAATTTAAATTAGCAATAGTTTTTTCTGGATATTGCTGTGATGGTGATCTCTAGGCTTTTAAATTCGCATTTTAAGGGTTTGCTAATGAAATCAATGCACAGGCTGGAGTGTTTTATGACTTTGTGTAGACAAAGCACCACCTCTGAAACTGGAACAGCAACTCTGTGAAAGAACTGCTAAGTTAACACGGATTGTCATTGCGATGCTATTATCTGCGTTACGGTGAGCTCCAGGAGGCTCCATCCAGTGTGGGCACGGGCTACGCCCTCTCATGTTCCAGTATGTTTGGAAATGAACTCAGGAGCAGACAATCTGCAACGTGACCACCGAGCCCCGTGCGGCTAACCCCGCCCCTCACAGCCAATCAAAAACTGCTTAGGCGGGCCCAGGGCGGGGACTCCGCCTCCTGTCGACCAATCAGGACGGCCGGTTCAACATTACTTGCTAGTCCATGTACAGGCACGTGTGTCCCTGCGTGTAAACTACTGTTGGGGGGAGAACAAAAATGTCTGGAGAGCCAATACACACTGCTACGCCAACACTGTCGTTGCTACCTGGATTTATGCTGTTTTTCTGAAGATTTTTGAATATCTCATCGTGGAATATCAGACCTGTTGTTGTCTTTTTGAAGCGTATGTAAGGTACGTTGCTCCGCTTTGTGTTTTAGTCGTGTTTGTAGCCTTTGCTTTGTTGCTAGCATGCTAGCTGTCACTTCGAGCTAACAGTCCACCGTGTACCAAACTGCAGATATGTCTTTTTTTTCTTTTTTAAACTGCCTCAAACTGTAGAAATACCATATCTCTTAATGTACCATTCCGTGCTTATAGTTTACATGTGAAGCGTTTCATTTTTAGGTTTGGTGGCGTGTACGTGCATGTGGACGTCGCACAATGTGGGAACAGGGCTGTAAAGATGCCCGTCTGTGATAGGTCCATACTGTATTTACGTTATACCTGCTAACAATCAGTTATGATCAGTTTTATAGAATGTTGTGATTGACCATCTAGTAAACCTACCATTATTTTATTAACAGCGCAAAACATTACCATGGGTGTGTAACATGTCAGCAGTCTTTATTTTTACGTTTTGCAGTGACAAACAGTTCCTTCTTTCATATAAATTAGAAAATGCACTCATCTTTTCAATACTTGAGAGAGAAATCATGGGTGTGTGTGCTGGTAGCACTAATCTGGCGATGTTACTGTTGATGTTGAGCATTATTTTCAAATTATTTGTTTGATTCTTGTATTCACTACTTTGATTGTGCTGTTAAAGGGACAGCAAATGTGTACTTTCTGTATTTAAATCACACCTTATTAAACTCAAAAGGAACTTATAGATTTTATCCACTAGAGGCTCCCATCTCCGAGAATACGCATGATGTACTTGTTGAAGGCAGATATATTCTGAAAGAACCAGCACTTTTTATGGATTCAATTGCATAGAGTGTCCATTTTATTATCCACAGTGTAGTATAATAAGAAGTGGATGTAGGGCTACTTTACTTGTGCATTGACTGTGCAAATTGTGAGCTGCTGGTCAATCAAGTGATGCTTTGTGACAGATGTTACATGCTTGTGAATTGGATTTTCTGCAAACTCATTTCACCACACGCTGGTTTCCCCAATGCAAAGAAAAAAAAAATATCACAACCTCAGAAAAACCTGCCTAGAACATGGGCCTGTAATCATTTTTATTGCCTACTGCTATTTCTATTACATTTATGAGGATCCACACAGAGCATCCATGCAGCCCTGTTCCAGCATTATAAACGCTCTGAGTGGCATGGCATTATTTCAGTTTGACAGTCAAAGTTTCACAAAGAGTATGACACACTAAGTCATCAAAAACAGGCTGTGGAGGCTCGAGAGATGAAAATGAATCTGCATGGATGCAACCCTGCAGGCTCTTGCAGATATCTCACCCCACTGAGTGGCTCAGTGCAAAGCAGTTGCACATAAATATTCAAAACGAGAAAGATTAAAAAAAGAAAACCCAGTGTCCTCTTCCTTCGCCCAATGAGCAACGCCTCAGTGAATCTCAGAGAAGACTGTGGGTGTGCACCATAAAGATGACTCTTCCAGTTTGTATGCATAAACAAATTAAACCTGACAGTTCTGACACCAGCGAACGGCACAAATTTTTGCCACGGTGACAGAGGAGGTAAGATTGCAGGCAGTGGCAAAGGTTGTGTGCTCTACATTTAAACTAGTTGATCACATGGATGTGACTCAATATGAGATACAAACAAGTAAACAATCTTTAGTTTCCTTTGCAGTGAAACTGAGTGACTCATCAGCAGTTTGGGCTGTTTATACGTGATGGAGAGGAGCAGCGCCATCGTGCTCCTCCTCTTCTGATTACACGAGCTTGGTTTGCACACGTACTGGCAACAAAAATCACTGAATTTCTTAGTAAATATCTATTTCACTGCTTCGGTAGTTGAAATTGAAATCGTGAAAAAGGCCTTGAAAGACAGAGTGAGAGGAATTTGACTCCATAGTTGCATCTCTTTACTCCTTGTTAATTTATGGCTAGTTTCTGTTCCAAATTTCAAAGAATGTATTTTTTTTTTATCATGTCTTGTTTGATTGTTGCCCATATTTTATGAGCATGTGTCGAATAAAAACTCTTGAATCTTCTGAGAATAGTTTATAGAGGATGTGTGTCTGCCGTCCTTGTTCTTAGACAATAAAACAAACACTGGAGTCTCTTATGATGCCAGAATGGTTTAAAGTTGAGGTAATGAGGGCTGCTTCGCAATTTGAATGCATTTGTGTAATCTTAGGTTTCATTTAAGGATTTTACACTCAAAGCTGCCTCATCTGCTTTTGACTTGTTAAACTGTTTTTTGCTTTGTTACGCATTTGTTGGAAATATTTACATCTGTACTTGTTACACTGATTGTTCAAGAAAGATATGCGGGCAACTCCATGAGTGTAGGGTTCAATATTCTGTTATTACTGTGAACACTTTCAGGGCATCATTTTGTGGTCTATAAAAACTGGATATGATCCTGTGCTGAGTTTTGCTGGCAAGCTAACCAGAGCGCATTCTTTATTAAACCATAATTTGAATAGTGGCTGTTATTAAGCAGGTTTTAGAAATTCTTCAGTTACCACAGAGTAGAAAACTTGGCTTCCTCTACAGTGGTTGCTCGTGTCATTTACAACAGAAACATGATAGTTAATGTAGACCAGTGATGTTGAGGACATCTGGATTGGGAATTAAGGCTTACTGTTTTTTTTCATGTGTTACAGCACAGTTATAAGGGTATTTACCTGTGTAACTTACTCTATGTGCTATTAAAACAAGACAACAGTGCAGAACGAAACAGAAAAATTTGCCAAAAACATGAAAAATGTGCATGAATCTGTTCAAGGAGAGCAGCAGATTTCTTGATAAGCAGCACAAATGTATTGTCACGGTGGCAGCACAAAAGCATTTGCCTACCTTGACATTGGCGTCCTCTTTTTAAGAATATTTTTGAAGGTTTTCTTCTTCTTTCAGTAATTGAAGGGCACTAAAATGACTACATTTTATTAGATTACTCAAGGTTTTTTGAATAATAAGTAAGTATAATGTGCTAATATAATTTTGGCTGAAATAATCACAACAGAGCCGTCATATCAGCTTAAATGCGCTCGGTATGCCAGAAAGTGGAGCATAATGCAACCATTGAATGAAGCGTGCTGATAGGGAGTAAGGACTTACAATATCAATATGTTGACTGATATATATATTTCAATCAGTGTGTGTGTCTAGCGAGTGACATTTTCATGTTTAAGATCACATGTTGTCAAACTATTTCACAATCTAGACTTACCATAAAGATAAAGCTTTACTCCGCACCACTGTCTGCTCAGCTGTGACGTGCACTCTGCTACATTCGCTGCAGATTGTGCTGCTCTGCTGGACAAGTTATGCAATACCACCATTTTCAAATGACGCTAAGCACCTTTTTAGCGTATTATGTTCTGTAAAAGACGTTTTTATATCAACGCATATACGCTTGACGAGGCCAATGTCAGCCAATAATATCTACCAAGTAATATACTGGTCGTGATCTAATTTGCTTAACTAGTTTACTTTCTAACAAATCTGTCTTGTCCCATTGAAGGTTCTCAAACCCTCACACTCATTACCTGGCTGCTGCCATAAGAACTTCATGCAACTTTTTCAGCATACAATTACCAGATATAGATAATTGCTTGATAAACATGCAGACAATGGAGGTATTACGCAAACTGTTATAATACGTAACAACTGAACCTTATTATGGTTGGAACAGTTAACCATAAAACAATGAACATTTGGCTGATTAAATGAGCAACCTGCCATCCATTGACAATAGACTGACAGTATTTTGTAGGATGACAGATGAAGGATAGGTAGAGTTAAAGTGATGCAGGGAAAGTTGGCAGATGTTGTGAAAGTCATGCCAACATGGAAATGAAATGGAAAAAAAAGAGGGCCCCATTGTTACTGAACCGCTTTATTGTGCATTCATAATCTCCAAACTAGGGCAACATAGGTTTCCCAAACCTGGATTTTTAAATTCTCATATAAGCTTGTCAATTTGGCTTAGCACCACTGCTGGTACCCCGAGTCATTCACCTTCATTTTATATCTCATCCCATATTCTGTTGTGTACTCGTTTATTTAATTAAACATAGTGTGTGAAGTCATATGGTGCAAAAAGGTGGACGCTTTTCCACCTATTATCCGATCTCATGTTAAGCGCGTGCTGCGTCGTCTCATAGTTGTACATAATGTACAGTCCAGGGCCTTTCGCCAACACTGATCGCGGATCAGCTCATTGTGCTGCGCATGCAGGAGGCAAACCTGCAGGCGGGGCTGAGACCAGTGTCTGGCAGTCCGTCTGTGCGCACCGTCGCGGCAGGCGAGCCTGTCCGTGACGCGCTCTGCCATTGGTCCGCCGCGCCGACCAATCAGCAGCCGGCGAGGCTTGCGGAAAGCACCGCCGCGTACACGTGCCGTTTGTACACAAGAAAGCAGAGCGGGACAGAGCTGCTGTGAAAGCACCGCCGGACAATGACAAGTCGAGCGGTGGCGGATGCGCAGAGCTGCGGGGGAAACCGAAACGGTACTGCTTTATAATTGTGACTGAATACGAGACAAAGCGAGTCGTGATGCAGTGTGTTGTGATGGGAGGCGTGTGTGTGTGTCTCAGCCCAGTAGAGAAGTTCACACATGTTCACGCACGGAGCCACGCCACACCTTCCTGCAGACTCCATCGGTACATTGCAGCGGGGCAAGTGTCGTGTTTCAACGAGTTTAACTTAAATGACTGTCGTTCAGGACATGCAGTGCAGTTCTTTTGTGTTTCTTTTGATGTTGTACCGGTTTATAACTTGTAGTGTGACAGTGATTGTACATGTAGTATTATAGCTGAGACAAGCACACTTGGCCTGTGTAGTGCAGATTATGTCAATATACTAGTAATTAATGCTTTTAATGAAAGGAGAGCATGCTTGATTTATATACAGTTACAGTTTGTGTCATTTATATGGAAAAGATATGGGGTTGTGGCCTGTTTCCAATACTGTGTGCTCTGTGTCAGTATGTGCAGAGCAGGGCGGAATCAATCGATTTCAAATTGCTGTTTGAAAAAATGCAATTAGCAAATTGCAAATGCTGCACTTTAGGACATATGTTATGCAGCATGTTTGACCTAGGGTTTAAACTGAAATTAAAACAGGAGGGGTTTCACGAATAATCCTGTCCTCCTTCTGTGACAGACAACCTTTTGGGAGTGGTTCATGTTGTAGTCATAAAATGTTTATTACACAGTGATTATTAAGTAAATTGATTTTATTATTATACTGCTTCCTTGGCTAGAGCTCTCTTGTAAAAAAGAGTTTGAATCTCAATGAGACTTCCTGGTTCAATAAAGGTAAAATAAATAAAATTGATATTGAATTGAGGCAGGACTTCCAAAAATGTTGCAAATTAAGTCGTAATATCTGTCAGAAAAATCTGAATTATATGTTTTCCCCAAATTGTTTTGTGCTGTTACAGTAACTCTCACATTTAGCTATTGTGACTGCAGCTATGGTTAGAGTAATAATTATTTTTTTATTACTGATTATTATCTTGAAATATTTCTAAGTGTTAAAAAGTTGTGAACAATGACCACAACAATTTCCAAAAATCTTCATATTGCTTGTTTTGCCTAACCAGCCATTCAAAACACAGATATATTCAGTTTGTAAGCATAAAATCCCCCCCAAAACAGCAAGAATCAGCATTTGAGGAGGTGTAAGCCATGAGCTATGCAAGTTTTTTTTGCCTTGAAAATGACTCATTCTACTGTTTTGTAGTTGTCTCAGCTTTATCTACAACTTGTGGTTCATTCTGTGCCTGCTTTCAACCAAATATATCTGCTTGTCCTTGGTCTCAAGCTAACAGTAAGCAGTTATTTGTGTTAGTTTTGTAAGCCACAAAATCAGCATGTGCTGCGTTTTCCTTAGAAAGGCTTGATTGTGCTAAAAACAGCATTGTGTTGGGAATTGTTGGCTCCCACAACTTTAAGTGTGATATTTTCCTGTGCCACCGTACTGTAGGTGTGTTATGCACATTGTCTGCTATAATCAACAGTTGAGTTCTCATTAATTAGTGCTGTGTAGCTACAGTCCCTGTACTGATTGAATAATTCACCTCCGTCTCCTTGCAGCTTTACAGATACAGCGTTTGTATCAGATGAACACTTGTTTCATTACCATGATAGTGAGCAGATTTGTGGCCAACTGTTGGAGCCGAGCCCAGCCAAAGTCAAGTAGAGAAGCGCTGTTAAGCTGGCAGTACGGCTTTGTTCAGTTCATTGATGTCTCCTGCATGTTGTTTACCACCATAGAGATGTTTTTGTTGATTTAGTTTTGTTGTTGAAGTGAATGCGGAATTTATTTAGCCCCTGCAGACATTAGCTCTGGCAGAGTACATTATCAACAAAACTTCAGTTTCACCATGTATACTGTGGTGTTTGTTGCTACCAACAACCACTGTGAGCTGAAGGATTGTGTATAGCCCCATACTGCTCATTAGAATCACAGGTTGGCATCGTAAATGTGCTTTTGTCTGACCAACACTCCAATCTGAAGATGCAGAAATTCAGAACAGAAAAGAGCATTTAGAAGTTAGAAATGTTTGACATTCTTGCTGACTAAAATCAGTGGAGCTCATGCGTGGTTATGCTGTATGTTCACAGCAGTTATAATCTGAAAACAGCACCTAAGAGTGATGCTGCAGTTTGTAGTCTGGTTGTGTAATACTGTGCAAACTACAATGGTGGCACTGGAGGAATGATGACTTCTTCATTCCCACGACAGTATATCTGTCTATCATTTGACAAGTCATGCAGGTTAACTGAACAGAATTGAACTAAAAATCTGACTTGCTCGTCAACCACAGTCATTCAGGAGATCACACCAAAACAGGAAATGTAACAGTGAAGCTTTAAATGAAGCAAATGGGAGACTGAGAGAATATCTGCAGGACAGAAATGTACTTGATCTCTGTGTTGTCAGGTGAGTGCTTTGCCTCTTTCACTCTGACAAACTCAACATGCATTTTTCATGGAAAATGATTTAAATTTTCTTCACAACATGTCGCAGTTAAGAGCAACACAAATCAGGTGGAGAAGTTAACATGAAATTTGAGACATGCTAGAGAGTAAAATGAAAAAATAGTGTGTTGGCCAGAGGACAAAACAGCATGAACCATCTCATACTCCGCGTGCTTGTTACATATTCTTTCCCACATGAAGATAGACACCATCTTGCATAATCAGAGGTTGCTCTTCGAGAGTGCATTTCCTGTGAATAATTCGAGAGGGCGGGTGGCATAGTGGCTCAGCGGTTTGCATGGTTACCTCACCAGTCACGGGGTTCAGACCTGACTGGCGTTGTCGTGTGGAGTTTGCATGTTCTCTTGGTGCCTCAGTTTCCTCCCACAGTCCAAACACATGCATGCTAGTTGACCCTGGATGTCTAAATGGCCTGAGGGAAGATTTGAGCATTAATGTTAATGTATCTATGCTTTAACCCCGTCTCTCTGATTGGCTTCAGCAGCATTACAGAAAATGGACTGAATTTATTGATGTACCCTTCAAGCAAAAGGGTCAGTACAGCTGGCTTAGCAAGCAGGTGGGTGGACTGGGATGGCGCATCCAGGTATTCTAGTAGCCTGAGCACAGTTTACCACCACCACCTTTGTGTGTCTTTGCCATCACCCGTGGAAGTATGCATGGATGCCAGCCTGCCTCAACTCCCACTCACGCCCTGCTTGCATATTTCCAGATCTTAATTGCTCCTTCCCCCGCCCGGTCCGGCCACAGCACACAGTTTGTCATGTGCAACTGTGCATCATCCATCTGACCAAACATAATGCTGATTAGCATTTTAATGCAGGCAGGGAGGCAGCTTGGTTGTGCTGCACAGTATCCCATGAGTTTGTTGCACTCAAATACCTGCAGTTGATCCCGTTTTTCCATTCACAATTTAGGTTATTGAAGAGTGATAAGCTACGCTCGTCATGATCTGTCCACACCTGTTACCTTCTTGTCAGATCTAATGTGCAGACTCCAGATGGTGGCCGCTTTGAACTTGTCCACTCAGCCATTTTGAGTCATTGCGTCAGTACAGAAGGCTGATGTATGTCTCAGTCACCGGTACAGGTACATATTTAAACCTGTCCCTGACCAAATTCTGCATCAGTGCATCACTGCACACCTGTCAAAGACAGGTAAAGGGGGTTGTGGGGCAGCCAAGTGCATAAAATTGGCAGGACTGACGACTAAGTACGAGCTGGTGTCGTCCACCGATTGCGTCTGCAGGTCTTAAAGGATTACGAGTGGTCACCCTTGCCCAAGGAATAAATAGCACTAGACTTGCACTTGCGTAGGTGGTGGCCATATATAAACTAGGAGATACTATTCGCAAACAAACCTTAATTTATGTGAGCTCTCCCTCTCCCGTCTCCTTGCGTACTGTTTGTTTTCACTGTCCTTCGGGTAAAAGTGGACTGAGCAGTGACGACTAACAAATGTAATTTTGGCATTAGCACACGTTCACCTGTTCTATAATCAGGTGCATGCATACGCACTCGCAGCATGCAAATAGGAGTAGGAGATTATTGTTATTCTGTGCTCAACATGAGGTAGATGTTTTATTCTTGATAATCTGAGTAAAAGGCTCGGCCCTGAACAGCCACGCCCTCTTACATTGTGGCAAACATGCAGTCTCCTCCGCGCCGCTGTGAAAACATTTCATGGCCATATTTGAGTCTTCCTTGAAGGCCAACGCGATAAACCGATGATAAGCGTTTCTCTTTTTTGGCCTTTTTCAAAGCTGCAGCCCTTGGGAGATACTGGTGAGACCATGACGAGTGTTTTATAATCCTAATGTTGCTTTTCTTTCTCTGTCCATTTCTTTTTTCTTTTTTCCCAGGTGGCCTTTAGCACCTAGAGCAACACATCTCTGAAGAGGCGAGAAGACCAGATACAGAGTGAAAGGAATGTTTTTTGCTCTCACCAAGAGCTGTTTTTCTCACTCTCGCTCTCTCAATCTCTCATCCCATCTGTTGGAGCACTTATGCCAAGGCTGTTTCATAACAAGAAATTCACGTCTTGTGTGCAGCACTTTGAGTGACACTTTTTTTTCTCAAGATAATTAAAGATACTGTTTGGTTTTTTTGGAGAGACAGTCTTTGATTTTTGGTGTTTGTAACATTTTACAGTCTGCACTTTGTAGAAAAAAACAAAAATCGTCGAGGGGTTTACAGCCCCATCCTCTTTCAACGGCTTTTGTTTTGCAGGAAGAACAATGAATTTCTCTCCTTAGTTTTTTTAACCATCAGCCAACAATCATGATTCACTTGTACGTACATAGTAGTCCCACTTAAATTACAGTTGCTCAATTTTTCATCTCGGCTGACCCCAGAATCAAGCAGCCTCATCCTACTCTAGTATGAGTTATGACAACTCTACATCAACGCTCAGCAGCAGCACTCGTGGCCGAGTGGCAGGGGCTGATGAGAAAGACCAGGAAGCCGAGTCCCAGGGATTAAACGCGCAGACAACCAGCGGGGGACAGGCCAGCGCCAATGTCGCCACTCAGGGGCAAGGAAGCGGCGCCGGAGGATCTGGATCCGAAGGCTTGTCTGGCGATGGAAGGGGCCCTAACTCGGATGATATGGACGGACTTTCCAGCGGGAACGACTCTGGGGAGAGGGAGAGCGAGGGCGGGAGGGAGAACAGGTCGCGTGGACATCAGTCCACACGCAGCTCCCACAGTCACAGTTCATCCAATGGGAAGGACTCTGGCATGATCCTGGAGAACACAGAGAGCACCAAGAGGTAAGAGAAGAATTCAATATATGTTTACTGTAATATTTCTGCTAAGATGAGTTTGTTTTTCATGTTTTTATGGCTTGATGTCTAACCCTTCAGGCATAAATTGTAACAGAAAATACTTTAAGCAATAGATAAAGATGGAAATTATAGCCTGCTGCTTTCATTATAGGAGGCACAAGAGGTAGTTATCAGTGCAGGGAAACACTGGTCTGCTTTAAAGTCAGATTGTCAGGAATAAATTTATGTGGCATACACAAAGGGTGCTTAAAGTCGTCCTTATCAACTTTTAATGCTTCCAATGTCAGTGCAAATCCTTTAAAATCTTACGTTTCATTTTATTATCCACATAAAACAAATGATTGTAAAATGCAGTGCAAACTTTATGCAACGCTGCATAAAGTTACGAAAGCAATTTAAGTGTATAAACTTAGGTTATACAGTGGATAACAGCTAAATGACTGAACAAATACAGCACACAAGACAGCTTTCCTGAAATAGTTTTCAAGCTTAAACTGGTGAGTGTGGTGTTATGAAGTGCTTTGTCTTTATGAAAACGCTTTAAAGCAATTGAAATCTTGGTTTGAAATGCACATTAAACAAAAAGAATGTCAGAATGGACATCAGCAGCTCTTTTTCCTGCTTATTTGTGCTCACTGTGTTGAATTCCTTGTAATGTGAGGACCTTTGTGACAAGCATAGGCACATGTACAATAAAAAAAAAAAAAACTTACAGAGAGTAGCAAAACTGTGTTAGTCTTGTTCTGTTCTGTGTTGCACATGCTCACATGTACCAGCAACACATCCTTTCATCAATCTTTAAAATGATCATTCACTGTAGTCTTAACTTTTCCTCCTCACACAGCTCCAACTCTCAGAGTCTCTCACCTCCCAGCGGCTCACTGGCCTACAGCCTGCTGTCCACCAGTTCAGAGCATGACCCCCCCTCCACCTCCGGATGCAGCAGCGACCAGTCAGCGAGGGTCCAGACGCAGAAGGAGTTAATGAAGGCCATCAAGGAGCTGAAGCTCCGCCTGCCAGCTGAGCGCAAGACCAAGGGTCACTCCAGCACTCTAAATGCACTCAAATACGCTCTTCAGTGTGTCAGACAAGTCCGAGGTGAGAAGAGAGACATACCCAAGAATATGTGACAGACAAAACCTCATCACGAACCTGTGTCTTTTTAGTGATGAATTGAAACCGTTAGCCACTTTTCTGAACTCTGAAGACACCATGTTTCTTATTTCTGCATGAATAATTTACACTCTGATGTGTAATGCTATCTGCAGCCTGTCTAAGAAATGTGTATTGTTTCCAGCCAACAAGGAGTACTATCACCAGTGGAGTGTGGAGGAGTGTCACGGCTGCAGCCTTGACTTGTCTACCTTCACAATTGAGGAGCTTGACAACATCACCTCAGAATACACCCTCAAAAACACTGTGAGTTTAAACAGTTAGTCATTCATTCCTGTTTCATAAAACTACTGGTAAAGTACCTCATCTTCTTAGTTATGTTCTTTCAGGAAACTTCCTCTACAAGTATCCTCTTGTTGTAGTTTGTGGGCCATGGGTGTGATCATTTTTATTACTTTTTCTACCCCCGGGTATAATATTTAACTGAAAATACAGGAAGATTGGCTCAATCCAATATCATTGAATGCCTCTAATATGGTTGAGAAACACATAACAAATTGGTCCTGATTAATCTGCTATATATTTGTTTTGCTGCAGGTGAAGTATCGAGCAGACTGATTGGAATAAACTCTTAGATTTTACCCACCAGATCCAAAATGACTCACCTAGTGCTCATGAAAGCCATTCAGATTGGGTTTTTGTACTTTACTGCTCTTACTTAATCTAAATCAGGGACAGGCCGAGATGTGTTTTGGCTATTTCTTGCCTAGATGTGTTCTAGTTTTCCATTTATTAGTGAATAAATGAGGTGGTTTGGGTGTATTATAAAATGGGTAAGTTATGCAAATTAAGATGTACTGACTTATTTTCACAAGGACCTTTTGCTTGGTTTGCGTAGGAACATACTTTTTAAATTCAGAAACAGACACTGCAACAAAGTGTGCCCGAGATCTTTCTAACTTCAAAGGTCAATTCAGGTCTTATCAAATTCCTAACTTCCTCTTCTATTTGTTTTTTTCCAGGACACGTTCTCCATGGCAGTGTCATTCCTGTCAGGGAAGGTCGTTTATATTTCGCCCCAGGGCTCGTCCCTGCTGCGCTGTAAACCCGAGTGTCTCCAGGGGACGATGTTTTCCGAACTTCTGGCCCCGCAAGACGTCAGCACCTTCTACAGCAGCACGGCGCCCTGCCGCCTGCCCCTCTGGGCCTCCTGCATCGGATCTGGTAAGCTGACTGAAACTGGAAAGGAAGTTTAGTTGTGTGGTCTTAGTGAAATGTATTCATAGTATTGAAATGTGTTCATTGTATTTCCTGTGCTGACTTGACTGACTGTCTCCCTCAGCCTCTCCTCCGGTCGACTGTACCCAGGAGAAGTCCATGTTCTGTCGGATCAGCGCTAACCGGGCGCAGGGTGGTGAGATGCGCTACTACCCCTTCCGCCTCACACCCTACCAGCTCACCATCAGAGACTCGGATGCTGCTGAGCCACAGCCCTGCTGCCTGCTCATCGCAGAGAGGGTCCACTCTGGATACGAAGGTATTTGATACTACACCACACTGTGTGCAGTTAAAGGTAATATGTGTGTCAAGTCAATGTCACCGTTACATGCTGCAGCCAGAGTAAAAAGAAGTTGTAAATCAACGAAAACTGACATTGTCCTCCTCCTCCTGCAAGACGTGTTTACAGGACGACCCTGCAGCTCTAGTAAAATCTGTGGTTGCCATTGCCACAGTTGCGAACATAGGCATTGCTTAAATAGTAAAATTTGTTATAGCCATGCTGCAAGTTACAACACACACAGACGCAGCACTTACATCATGATCAGTGTTACGTGATCCACTCAAGTATTACACATCATTTTAAACACACCTGGAAAACACATCTCTACAAGATCTCCAAGTAAATCGCACACAACTACAAAGATGTCAGCAGGAATGGATTAAGTAAAAATAAAAGCTCAACTGAGCTGTAGTCTGTTACAGTAAAACAGCAAATGCAGTAATGATTTGAGTCAATGTAACAGGAGGTCCCTGGCACCATATTTTTGCTATGTCTGTGCAGCATTGATAACACTTTGTCAGAGTAACCCAGGCATCCCATAATAATTTGAGTATCAGCTTAACAGTTCTTCATGTAGCTACTCATACAGACAGACACTGTTGGTGTGGGTAAATAGAGAAGTGCATAACCCAGGGTTCAAACATTACAAGGACAATGACATGTGGATACAGTGTTGCGCTAAAAAAAAAATGTGATCCCAGAATTAGCAGAAGAAACTGAGGGAGGGAGTCTAGTTTTAGAGTTCTCACCCTAGCAGTCTGTAGATGCTAATGGGAGGGCTGCTTTTTTAGAATTCAAGTGGTGGGTAAATGGCATTTGCTTGCATTTAGACTCTCATACTGGCTTGCAGGACAGCGAGATGAAAAAGACAGACAGATTGCCTCCAACAGATATGGTGTGGCGTACCATATTCCTCTGAATATGGATATTACAGACACCAAATGGCTGGACGCCTTTTTAGAATTGCAAATAAACCTTTTGTTATATACAGAGTGTCTGTTTCATCTAACCGGTCCACCTATCCTCAAAACATGCGTTTCATCCGTTTTCTCTACGCAGCTCCTCGTATCCCCCCAGACAAGAGGATCTTCACCACCAGTCACACTCCCAGCTGCCTCTTCCAGGACGTTGATGAGAGGTCAGTTACCATGCTTCCGATAACATTGCCGACATATACAGCCAAAAAGCAGACATCAGGGTTCATGAATGATGCCATTAATCAACAAATAGCATTGCCAAAAAGAATTGCAGAGGCACTAGAATGTATAATTGTTGAAGCAGAAGCACTGAAATGTTTTATCTTCCACCGCCATCAAATGATTGCCCAAAGGGAGTCTTTGAATTTGTCGGGTTTTTATGTGTAATTTTTTTAAACCACAATTTAAAAATTAGTGAGAGAAATGCATATAATAAAAATATTGTTCAGTTTTACTCTTTATATTTGAACTTATTTGGTAAATTAGTATTAGAAATGCAATTAATGTTACAAAGTCTCTTGTTTTAAATGTGCTATATAGATATCTAAATACACCTCGGTGACCTGACTACTTTAAAAACTCATCATTTAAATTTATTCCTCTCATTAGTTCCAGTATATTTAGATTTTACAAATGAGAATTCAATTAAATTGGTTTGGATATTGTTTGCTTCTATAATAACCAGATATCTCAACACAAATCTTCATCACTTTACTGATGCGAATATGTAGTTTAACTGAACAAAACAAATGCATTGTTGACGTTTTAACACATTAGAAATGTGCTGTGTTTGCAGGGCAGTGCCGTTGTTGGGCTACCTGCCTCAGGACTTGGTGGGAACCCCCATCCTGCTCTGCATCCACCCTGAGGACAGGCCTACAATGGTGGCCATACATGAGAAGAGTGAGTCTATTTATTCATCGGCCTTATGCTGTTATTTACACTACCCAACATCTTCCAGATATAGGGGGTTTATTTCAATGCTACAACTCGTAATATTTTATTATGTCTTCTATATGTGCTTCTTATTGCTCTCTGAACATGCTCATACAATGCCTGTTCTGTCTTCTGTCTTCAGTCTTTCAGTTTGCAGGGCAGCCGTTTGACTATACGCCCCTGCGAATGTGCGCCCGCAGCGGGGAATATCTGACCATCGACACGAGCTGGTCTTCCTTCGTCAACCCCTGGAGCAGAAAAGTGGCGTTCATCGTAGGGCGGCACAAAGTCAGAACGTAAGCCCTTTCATTAGCTTCTTCTTTCCCCCCACTCAGCAGTGATTGTAACACTTACTCAGAAGCACAAGCACACATAGCATAAATAGATTTCTGCGTTGTTTATTTGATTTCATTTCACATTTTTGTTGAGTAGAGTTTGAAGTGACACAAATGCACACAGTGGGAGTAAGGAAACTTAGTGCATTAGTCATCAGTGGAGCAAAACAGTCCTTGACAAGCACTTTGCACATGTGCAGGCACATTCAACAAAAACTTAGAGCCTAAAGAGTTGGAAGAAGGATGTGTTTATGACCATCTGTAAAAGTGGCAGCCACATACGTAGGCGTAAAATGGCAGAAAGGCAGTCGGTTTCCATTATATACCATATGTGGATTATAACAAAAGTACAGAATTTGTACAAAGTTAATTCTCAGCCCAATCAAAACAGTTTGAGATTTCTCTACTCTCCTGTGCTAAGTGGCCCTCTCTCCCTCTCTCCCTGCCTCCAGGAGCCCTCTGAACGAAGACGTGTTCACCACACCGCAGGGCTGCGAAAGTCGGGTCACGCCCGACATCGTGCAGCTCAGCGAGCAGATCCACCGGGTCCTGGTGCAGCCGGTGCACAGCGGCAGCTCTCAGGGCTACAGCTCACTCGGGTCCAGTGGCTCGCGAGGGTCTCGCCGTTCCCACCAACAGCACCACAGTGCCTCAGCTGCCTCGTCCAGCGACAGCAACGGCCCCGCCATGGACGAAGCTGCTGCCGCGGTCGCTTCACACAAGCCTGTGAGTCCAAGAAACCAACAGAGGCAGTGAATTCTGGACTCGTGATGGGTTGAGATTCATGCACATCCCAGTTAAACTTGAATTAGACTCTTTCACCTCGTGAGAGTTGATTGCGCTATGTGTAGGCCAGACAAGTGAAACGAGTGCTAAAATAGTAGAAATCAACTGGACTTTTCTTTGAGGTTCTTGAAGACATTTCACATCTCATCCAAGAGGCTTCTTCAGTTCTAACTGACTGATGGGCCTTTTGTAGAGTTTTGTCACTCCAGCTCAAATGGCTCATGGCCCATTAACTAAACCAGGTGGTCCAACAACAACGACAGCAATCATGGTGGTAGAGCTGCCAGTTTACTCAACAAAGGATATTAATCTGCCATGCTAGGAGTGACTCAAGATGATGATGATGGTGAAACTTTCTCAGGAGAGACCTTATCATTGCATAAAGAGAAGTCCAGTTGATTTCTACTGAAGCTCCTTGGATTACCATGATGTGGATGACTGAGAATCTACACAGACACAGTGCTAAATAGTTCTGAGTGTTATGCACCTTCAACAAATTCTGCATGAGAAATAAGCAGAAGATTGTCATTCCATGTGTAGTTAAGCTAAGATGTTGTTGCTGTGATTTTTCTAGATGACGTTCCAGCAGATCTGCAAAGACGTCCACATGGTCAAGACTAATGGTCAGCAAGTTTTCATTGAGTCTCGCCACCGTCCACCACCCAGGAAAAACACCATCACAGGTAAAATAAAAAGACAGTTTCCTGATGTCCCCAGGCCTATTTTAGATTTACAAGTTAAAGGTTGTTGTTAGCAGTGCCGTAGTTAGTAGCAGTAGCTGTGAATGCTAAATATTGACAAACACAAATGGAAATGTTGGGCAGATGCTGTTTCAAGAAAGAAAAATCATCTCCAGTAGAAATTGCTCTCTTAATGCGTCATGTCAGCTTCACAGAGAACGATGAGAAACAGCTGGCTCAACTTTCGCTCCCCTTTATTTGTCATCCAGGTGCATCAAACATCAGAGCCATCAATAGTGACCCAATCAGAGGTCTGATAGCGGACATGACAAAACCACCCAAAGCTTTGGTTCCTGCTCCACTTGTACAGAAGGAGTCCACCACTGGCTACTCCTACCAGCAGATCAACTGTCTAGACAGCATCATAAGGTTTGCGCACAGGCCGGTAGCCGTGACAGTCATGTTATTTTCTTTTTTCATTTCACTAATCTAATGAATGTCCACACAGATACTTGGAGAGCTGTAACATTCCTAACACAGTTAAAAGGAAGTGCGGCTCCTCCTCTTGCACTGCCTCGTCAACGTCCGATGACGACAAACAGGAAGTCAGCGGCAACAACAAAGGTACTTCATTACGATGCTTTACCAGTTTTAAGGTTTTACACAGGTGATAATATAGATAACTAGGTGGAAAAGATGCCAAGATTACTGACTAACCTGGTTCTTCGTGTTACTATGCAACTGAACTGTGATGATGTTTTCTCTGCAGGTGGTTCAGTTAGCCTTGTAGGTGAACCACCTCCTCTGCCTCCTCTGACCATGGCCACAAAAGCAGAGAGTGTAGCCTCAGTTACATCTCAGTGTAGCTTCAGCAGCACCATCGTCCATGTAGGAGACAAGAAACCTCCTGAGTCAGGTGGGCATCGTCAACACACTCTCTCCAGTCTGTTGTTCCTCAACGTCTTTCCTGGATGTTATGAGTTCCTTTTTGCATTGGTCAAAGGAGTTTGAAGACAAGTACTGTTCATGGTCACCTGATACTGTCTTTTTCTTTGTTTATTTTGCCACAAAGCATGTGTATTACTTTATAAGCCTACAGAATAATCTTGCATAAACCAAGAGCCACATGATAAAACAGCAGATTAGCCAATTTAAACCTTTGTTTCCCTTTTTTATTTGTGGCGCTCTGCTTTGAAGTCTTTTGCTGTGGCCATGTTTTCTGCAGCCGTTTATGTTAACCTTAAGTTTTAGTTGGGCTGCAGCGACAAAACTGCTGTGTGTATTGAATTCAAGAGAGTTAAAGTGTTTTGTGTGCAGTATGACAATGTTATAATACCATAAATCATAAAAGAAAAAAAAATCTGCTTCCATTTGTAATTGGTTTCTGTACTTTCTAGTATATGCTCAGTGTGACCACTGCCTGCAGTTTAGCTGTTTTTCTGCAGAATGTGGACTTTTTTTTTTTTTTTGCAATTTCTAAACTAAATAACATTTATTAAATATTACGATTTTAAGTTTAGATTTGATCAAGTTTGCTGTCAAAGGTCCGACTCAGATGATTAGTTAAAGGACCGTCGGAAAATGGACAATCTGATGATTCTCTCTGTTTTTACTGTTTTTCTTGGATATTTTTGTAATAACAGCATCCTTTTGTAAACCCACTGGTGGATTTTGGGGTTCAGAGAGTTAACTGGTGTACACTTTTAAAATCATGCTATTTTATAACACCCATTCATCTTCCTCCCGTGTCACACAGATATCGTCATGGAGGAGGCGCCTACAACTCCTACACTGGCTCCTCCTACTCCTTCTATACCATCGACTCTTCCCGCCGCCACCCCGACTCCTCCTGTGTTTGGTTCGACACCTAACGCAGCCATCGCTCATCCCCCTCCTCCTCCTCCACCACCACCTCCACCTCCCCCACCTCCTCTCCCTCAAGCCAGTCAGCCAGAGAAGGACAGCTGGAGAAGTGGAAATGTAGGAGGAGCGGGAGGTGGAGGCGGCCGGCTGGGTCTGACCAAGGAGGTGCTGTCCGCCCACACCCAGCAGGAGGAACAGGCGTTCCTTGACCGCTTCAAGGACCTTAGCAAGCTGCGTGTTTTCGATCAGACGGCATCCTCGACTGTGCACTGCCACACCCCAGCTGGCAATCCTCTGTCACGAGGTAGGGCCACGCTCCCATCAGGCGAACACGCACACTATATGTAGTTGTATGCACACAGAGATTTAGTGCCTTACTATATCATACCTGACAGTATTCCAACTCAAGCCTCATTTACTAAATTAGGACAAACATATTGTCTTGAGGGCAGCAACACTGTAACACTAATTTATAGATTAGATGATCTACAAGAAGTTTATAGTCAACAGTTCTGATATTAAGTAATCAGCAATTTGTCAAACAAAATGCAAAAAATTCAGGATCAATTTGTATTAATCAAAAGTTATATTGTAGCCCTACTGAGCTTCACTGTAGTCGTCTGGGGATGACATGATACATAACTAAGGCGTTACATAATTAGGCCTACAGTGTAATCTACAACAGAGTTACATAATGGGTAGAAGTTTATTGTTTCAGGTTTATGAGGAAGTAGTTCTAGCAGTAAAGTAGCATAAAACATGCAATAAAACAACTTTATCACCACTCTTGAGTAAGACTTCTGAAGAAAATGCACTCGTACATCCCATAAATTCAACACAAAGAGTTTATTTGGTAAAAGAAAAGTGATTCATGATAAGGATAAAAAAAAGGCAAAGTGGTCACCTGTGTGGGAAAACAAGAGACAGTTTATGGTGTATTTAGATTCCTGCATATAGGACAAGGGGACCTACCTCAAGTATTTCAGTTCATTAATTAATTAATATGTCTGTATCTTTTTGGGGAACCTGTGCAAAATCTTGTTTGCTGGCCCACCTCTCCATTTCCACATGAATACCGAACAAGTCTGCATCACATTAGATAAGCATAGAAGTTAGACCAACACATACATTTTTGTCCACTGTTATAATGGAACCTTTACCCTCCCTGCACTAAGCCTTGTCTAAATATCCACTATTGATAGTAAATGCCAAGATTAATGAAGCGTCTCCCTTTCTTTTTTAGGAGTGCGTTGTTCTCGTGACTACCCAGCTGCAGGAGGCGGCACCGGTCACAGACGTGGTCGTGGCGGCAAGAGACTCAAGCACCAGGAGTCGTCTGACCAACACAGCTCTCTGGGCCTGAGCGGGAGCCGCCGAGACCATAGACCCAACGCCGCTCCCATGCCCCTCAACATGCCCCTTGCTCCCCCCACAACCTCCTCCTCCTGGCCTTCTGTATGCTCACAGGCCAGCATTCCCTCTGCCCCCTTTGCCCCCGGCATGCTTCCGATCTACCCGATGTACCCGCCGCTCACACAGCCCTTACCCGTCTCAGATCCGTCACGTTTCCCCCCCGCACCGATGGTACCTCCCATGATGGCATTTGTTCTGCCCAACTACATGTTCCCCCAGATGGGAGCGCCCATTGCTCAGCCAGGTGCCACCCCCGGACACTTCTACAATCCCAACTTCACCTACCCCGGGGCCCCCACAGCCGCCGCCGCTCCCCCGATTATTTCCAACCCCGTCACCATTCCAGGCACCTGCGCCCCGTCTCGTAGCAGCACCCCGCAGTCCTACAGTCAGACGCCCGCTGACCGAGAGGGTGCAGAGTCCCCCCTCTTCCAGTCCCGCTGCTCCTCCCCTCTCAACTTGCTGCAGCTGGAGGAGTCGCCGAGCAACCGGTTAGAAGTCGCCACGGCACTAGCGGTGTCACAGCAAGCCACGCCCTCCGTGCAGGGCGGTGCGGCTGTGGGGCAGAGCTCAGCCAATCAGAGGAGCGCTGATGATGCCTCCAAGGAGAATGAGAACGTAAGGAAGCAGACATTCATTATAGGATGCCCAACTTTATGTCACTTAAAATGTATTTCATGGTGTGTGCTTTTTTTGCATTTCTGTTCATTTTTCTACCATAGGGTGAAGCTAATGAGTCCAACCACGACGATATGTCCACCTCCAGCGACCTGCTGGATCTGCTGCTGCAGGAAGATTCCCGCTCCGGCACCGGCTCTGCTGCGTCCGGTTCAGGGTCCTCTGGAACAAGATCCTCAGGTTCAGGCTCTGGCTCCAATGGCTGCAGCTCCTCTGGCACCAGCGGCACCAGTAAGTAGACCCTTTTTTTTCCTCTCATTCACAGATTCAGTCAATGACATTTTGACCTTTTGTTCCTACAAACAGAGGCGAGTGCTGTGTGAGATGTTTTTAGATTTTTATCATTAGGATGATGAGTTCAGGGTCACTGTGACAGTTATTTTAGTTGATAGTGTGGCTGCCTATTTTACACTATTTCCTGCCAGTAAAGCACGCTAAAACGCAGAAGAGAGTCGTCTTTTTTTTCTTGAATATGTTCTCTTGATAGAAATAAAAAAGATATTCTCAAAACAAGACATACATTTAAACTTAAAAAAAAGGGGAGAGTTAGAAAGTTGCCACAGTCAAATCCCTATGCAGTTAGATATGACTTAAGTAAAATTAAATATTGAAAAACACCTAAATTTCCATTTAAAACAGTTTTTACTGAGATTTTTTTTGATTATCTTAACATTGAATTCATAGTTAATTGTATAGAAACCCCACTCAAATTCAGGACTGTTTAATATTTGGAGTGTAAACTGCAAAGTCACGCATCTGAATAAATCACAACTTTAACTTCCTCGTCCATCCAGGCAGCAGCCAGGGCAGCCACACCAGCAAGTACTTCGGCAGCATCGACTCATCGGAGAACGACCACTCCCGCAAACAGCCAGCAGGGGGCAGCAGCAGCGCCGGAGGAGATGGCGGCGAGGAGCAGTTCATTAAGTGCGTCCTGCAGGACCCCATTTGGCTGCTGATGGCCAACACAGACGACAAGGTCATGATGACCTATCAGCTGCCTGTCAGGTACAGCACTGGGCAAAATGTGATGAAGCTATACAGCAGACTCATGCTTTAAATTGACAGCTTTGATACTTGAGCAACTTCTGAAGTCTGATTTCTGCAGTACATAGAAGAATTGATGCTTTATACCTAGATGGTGTACAATTATTCAGAATACATTGTTTTCTTGTGTTATTTGGCTCTAATCTGGCCTATGCTCAGCCATTCTCTGAAAAACTAGCGAATGGACAAGAAAGATGGCACTTTAACGCCGGCCCACTCTCCCTGTGTCTGAATAACAGGGACATGGAGACAGTGCTGCGAGAGGACCGTGAGGCTTTGAGGAACATGCAGAAACACCAGCCACGCTTCACCGAGGAGCAGAAGAGGGAGCTCAGCCAGGTTCATCCCTGGATCCGCACAGGGCGACTGCCACGAGCCATCAACATCTCTGTAAGTACCGCAGGTCAGCCCGTGCTTGGAAAAACCACTCATAATGTGAATCGCTGTACTTCAACTCGCTTTTTTTCTGCGGTTTCAGGGATGCGCCGGCTGCAAGTCACCCACTTCGGTGCCTCCCGCCGCCCCATTCGATGTGGAGATCCACGAGATGGAGCTGTGCAGCGTGCTGAAGGCCGAAGAGGAGAGAGCGAGTGAAACCAAGAAAGACCTCGCGGAGACGGCCATGGACGACGGTCACCCAGAAGACGAAGACGAGGAGGAAGAGGTGGAGGAGAAAGGAACCAAAATACAAGACAGCAACCAAGAAATGACAACAGACGAGCAGACGCCACTGTCAGCCGTGGATGAGAAAGCAGAGACTTAACTGACATGATTCACTAAGTAGGTGGCCAAATATGAAAAAAAAAAAACACTAGTGTTTTGTCACAGTCTTTCTACGCTGACACACAAAATATGCACCTTCCAGGACTTTTCTGTGCTCTTTACACAAGGCGGAAGAAAATCGAACCGGGACATTAAGGTGCATATTGATCAGAAAACTGCCATTCGTTTGTTATGGACAGGTCAGGCAGGACTCTTGGCCTCGTTCATTTCTTCAAGTTTGGCTTTGATGACAGCACACCAGGCATGTTCTATGACTGTATATTGAATGCCTTGGACACCACCAGACACGCACACTCAGTTTTAGAGAGTGAATTAGTGCTTCTTTTTTTTTTCTCCTTCAGCTGTTCTTGTAGTTTGCATATTTATTTAAGTTGTAAAATAAGCAGAGAGGACGAAGGTGAATGTGTTATATATATATATATATAAAAAAATGGCGCCTTTACATAAAGATGGATGTGCTTCACCACAGTGTCCTCCCTGACGTTTTTAATCTCTCCTGTTCAGGGTTCAGATCGTGAGGGAAGGTTAGAGGTTACCTGTAACTTCTCTTCTTATTGAATGTTTCTGGGATCTTGCTCCCACCTCGATCCTGAGTTACGTTTTTATGCTTTTTTCGGGGGAAGGAGAGGAATCTTGTCCCAAATTAACAAACGCCACTTTGACCCAGTAGAGAAAATGTACAGAAAGAGCCAGGCTATTTTGTAACATTGTGTATATTTTTATACTTTAAAAACAGCAGATAAAAGGGACAAAAAACACCCTATAGAGTATCTGTACTGTACAAAGTATACGTGGAAATCCAGAATTGAAATCTTATGAATTTGCTGCAGAAAGAAAAAGCAATCAGATCACAGTTTCTGAAATGGAGACGGTGTTTGTGGCACAGCAGTCAAACTGCTTTATTTGATGTACAGTAAGTCGTGGAGCAACGTTGCAATCGCCAGGAGGACGACCAGGGCCTTTTGAAGGTCTCTCTTTGGCCGGGCATTAGTTTGTACATTCGTGTGGTTGCTGCACAGTGAGGAATGAACAGTGCCGCTCAGATTCCCTCACAAATGCCACACACAGTATTCCCCAATTTGTCAGCACTCCATAAGGAGCTGTAACGCCTTGTGTTGCCAGTGCTTGCTCATGGTGGTGAGTAGATTTTGAAAGAAGTGGACGTAACTCTGTAAAAACAACAAAAAAACAAAAGAAAAAAAAAACAACAACTCCTAAGAGTTCGGAGAGTGTTTACTATCTTTTTTCCTCTCTGTCCCTTTCTCTCTTTCTCTTCCTCTCTGTGACACTGTTCTGGTCATGTGATATCCTATGCTTTATGGCGTCAGTGGTGACAGTTTCTTAATATTTTTGTGAAATTCTTTGTACAAAAAAAGACAATAAAATGACTTGAAAGGCCTTTAAATGTGATTTGTTTTTTTCCCCTCCTCTTCTCGCACAGTTAGCTTTATGATTACATCTCTTCGCAGGCTATTTTCGTTGGTGGGTGTTGTGCAACAGTTGGCCTGGATACAGAGAAGTGTCCAGAATGAACTGGAAGCAGGGAGCGGATCATGGCAGCTGCTTTTCTACCCAACCGCAGTCTCCTTCTATTCAAATGTGGTTTTCACCCAAAGTGGTCACCGCAGCTTAAAAAAGACAAAGGCATGTCCCCCGTTTAGACAAACACAAAGCGCCAAAGTTGACTTCATTGAACATTATGATTATAACAATGATGGCAGTCATTATAATTTATGCGGGCTATATCGTGAGACCGCTAATGTTAATAAAATAGCTACATAAAAAGCTAATTTTAAGTCACATTGTTTGGGCCAGAAACGTATCTTTCTGTGCCAGCACGAAGGAAATTTTGCTGCACAACACAGCATATTTCAAGTTTATTTTAGTTACTGTATTTTCCGTTCTTTCCTGCACTTAAACATTTCATCAGCTACTTTCGGCCATTGTGAATTCTGCGTAAAGGTATTTAAGCTTGTTAATTAACCGTCGCTTAAATTGGGCTCGTATGTTTAGGCAGGAAATACTTGAGCTAAATGGTCAAAGCCAACAACGTCACCATGACAGTGGGGATAACTCGCGGGTAATCTGCATTAAACATTGTACAGTTGAGAGCAACTGGAAACACTGCAGATGTGTTACTAAGCAGGAGCTCCTAAATCCAGACAGAAGAGAGCCATCGGTGTCATTTTAAAGTCATCAACAAAAGCCTTTTGCAAATGTTGACCCCACACTGGCCAAAGAAGGAGCTTCTAAACCTTGCCAGGAATAGGGAGTCCAGGACCCCCTATTGGAGGAGGACCTCCCCAGTGACCGTCCTGTGGTCTTCAAGTGGTGAGTCCACTGGGCCCAGCACTTGAATGAGTCAGTTTGATCAGGTGTGCTGCAAACGGACAGCAGGCCAAGGACTGCACCTATACGTGCATACCCCTGGCATCGCAGACTGGCTCTATGGGCCTATAATGTCACTTCTCCAGTGGGGAAGGTATCAAGCATGGTTAGGAGGTCCAGTAACTGGCCTCCATCAAGTCTCTGGGTTGCATCCTGGAAGCAATTTCACCTAGAGACTCCATAGTTCTGCTGGCAGACATGGGAGGTGTCTACTCATGCTGGCAATGATTAGGAAGCCTGAAGGGAGGTGTTTAGTTTTATTAGGTTGACCATTCCCCACAGAGTGGTGTTGTGTTATCGGAGGCTGCCAACAGCATATATTTAAGCATAAGTTTGCTCATGAGTATCACTTGGTTCCAGAGTACCTTAGGCCAAAGGTTGATGATTGACTTTGCAGTGGCGTTGAGACTTGCGGTCCGCCAACTGACGTGGTGGTGGGTGAGCTGGATCAGGTAATGGGGAAGGCTACTGGACAGACATGGCAACCCAAACGTGTAGTACGGCTGAACTGGCAACTGTCAGTTTTACAACAAACTCTAAAAGTTGTGAACTCAACATGGGCAAACAACATCAACAAATCTGCATTTAAAGTGATTTCCCAACATTTTTCTTGACCCTGTGATGTTTGCGAAAACTCAGTGTCAAACTGCAGTAAAAAATGAAGCTGTAATTACTCTTTTTCTGATGTTTAAAGAGAAAACTGTCCATGTGCTCTCATGTCAGGAAGAACTTCCTGAGGGAGGGTGAAAACATGAAATCTGAGGGAGTCATTTTCAAAGCCTCTTTTGCAGAGGTAGCTGTTCGAAGCTGTGGGCAAAAGGTTGTCTGTGCCTTTTGGCAGATGACATGGTTCTATTGGCTTAATCTGGCCGTGACCTTTAGCAGGCATTGGCACATTTTGCAGCCAGAAGAGGAATTGGTTTTCTGTTGTAAACCTATGGATTGGTCCTGGGGGCTGAGTTGCTGCCCCATGGGAAAGAGTTTTAAGTATCTTGGGCTCTTGTTAATTAGTGCAGATGAAGTGTCGTGTGACAAACTTTATTTATATAGCACTTTTCATACTTAACACAAAGTGGTTTTATAAAAACAGAAATGCAGCAACAGTAAAAACAGAATAAAAGACTCTAAAACACGGGGATTGAGGAAGTGAGGAATCCTATTTACAATGTGCAATTTAACACATGCAGTGAGGAAACGCCAGATGGGATTAAATAAAATAAGATCAGATAATAATATAAATTTAATTGTGTTATTTAAAATGAGAGAAATACAAATAGAAGTCTAACATTATAAAAACAGATGGACAGAAAAAGAGAAAATGCACAATAAACATCTGGTAGCATTATTATTTACATCATTTATAGATATTGCAACAATATTATCATTGTGAAATCTTTTGGCAGCGCTAATCATGCAGTAAAAATTGGATATACTGTCAGCCCTAGTAACAATAGACCCTGTAGCTGCTGAGACTTTCTCTAGCTGGTGGCAGTGAGGGAAAAGTTCATCCTCTGGGGACAATGCATAATCAGTGACTTAATTTCACTGCAAATCATCCAAACATGACATTTTGCTCACAGCCAACAATGTAAAGCTGTTGGTTGCACTAAATGAGAACTAAGAAGATCGTGAAAGTCATGGGGTTCATCCTCTGGGCACAAAGAATTCCTCAACTAAATTTTACATACAATAAATCCAGTATTTGGTGAAGATCTTCCATTTTTGCTCAAGAGGAGAACTGAGCAGCACCAACATTACCAAACACACATGCTTTCTGCTAACACGCTGACCAAAAGCCAGCTGGGCAGTGAATTGGTCATTATACACACATGCAACACAGGCGCTCTGTCCGTCAGCACACACCTGCAGAAACATATATTCCATTACTTTACCTGTTAACCAACATCACAGAGCTGGACTATAACAAGCACACTGTACAGACTCGCTCCACTCTAAACTGTACGTTATATTTGGCCACGAGTCAATGAATGTTGTTTTCCCTCCTCACCTGTGTCAAACAAGCCTCTGTTTTCCACTCATCCACCTTTTCCTTTCTTCTCCATCCCTCCATAACACACACCACCTTCCATCACTTACACTACCCTCCTCTTTCTTTCTCCCCTCCCCTTCCAATCACTACATCTCTCCACGCCTCTGCACCGCTTCTCCCTCCCGCTTCTCCTTCTCCTCTCTCGTCTTTTTCCTGATCTGGGGAGGACAGCAGGATGGAGGACAGGGTGTGGACTGTGTGCCTCCTTGTCATTTTGACATTGGGATGGACCGATGCTCAGACTAACAGCAGTAACTTAAGGTAAGAGTGAAAGAGAATTATTTTAGATTTGTTGCCAATGTTTCTGTCCTGAATTTGTCTTTTTTGCATCCTGCATGTGCACATGTGGCAAGTTTATTTTCAAGCCCACATCTGTCTAGATTAACAAGTGTGCGTGTTTCCTCTCCTGCTTGCGGTATTGTGATTACTGAAAGTAGACAGAGGAGGTTGGAGTGTTAGTAAGATGTGGTTGGCATCTCATAAACACACAGACAGGCAGGCGGACACGAAATGACAGCATGCTGATCAAAGTGGGCACAGTCGCTTGTCTTTATGTTTTATGGTTTGGTGAAAAATAATGATCATATAGTCAGGTAGCTTGACACACATGGCCATATTTTTTGATCCTAACTAAACTTTTGGTGTGCGTGGACTTTCATTCAGAGTGTAAATTGAACACGAGAGACAAACAAATGCCTGTGGGCTGTTCAGCCCCAGAGGGTCAGAAGGGAGGGACTCCACCACTGGAATATTTTGGCCACATGTGGCCTTACAGTACCGCAGTAGACACAGGACACATGCCTGAAAACATGATGGCAAAGAAAACAAGCTATATTGGATTGATGATCACAGATGTTTTATTATTTTTGCCCCACTGGCTGCCATAGTTTAAAGATACAGGTTTTAAAAAAACAACAAAAATCACCCTAAAGTGACCAGATGCAGGCGCTGCAAACATCCAAATTAACGAGTCTGGGCCCACGGAGCGCAGTGAAATTAAAAGCCGAAGCTGGCCCTGCTTTGATGTGTGTTTATCTCAGTGTGAACGAGTGGGTGTGTATCACCAAACTCCATGTGTGTTTGAAAAAAAAAAAAAAAGTGCCTGTCTGCTAAAGTAAAGTGTGTCTGCTGACAACTTTCTTGTGGTGCAGTCACAAACACACACACACTGTATATTGACGGTCTTTCTGGCTTGGTTTGACGAAGTTTTATGAAAAAAAAAAACACCATGAGGGTTCACTAGGAACCTCCCCGGCCCTGGAGAACAGAGACAGACTGTGCCGCTGTGGTTTGCAGCGTGTATGTAAACGTGGGTCTGCGCTGTTTTTTTCTTTTTTTGCCTCAATACTCTTCAGTTTAAGCTACATAGGCAAGTGGCATTTTCTTAGCAATGCAGCAAGTCGACTACAGTTTTTCCTCTGTCCCTCTCTCTCTCTTTTTCAGGCCAGTCTTCGCCTGTGGAGGCCACCTGGTCACAGACTCGGGCATCGTGGCCAGCGAAGGTTTCCCTAGTTACTACAAACCCAACAGTAAATGCATCTGGTACATCACTGTGAGTCCTAAAAATCAGCCTTTCTCAGAATCACAGTGCGGCAATGGAAGATATCGTATTCCTAAAGGCCTCGCTCAACCTACACAAGTGATTTAATTATGATGCTTGCGACCTCGTTAAGACTGCGTAGGCTTAGATGACGTCTCCCTGCCTCTTCTTTTACTGGTTAAGGTCTAATTTGTTGCACACTTTGTGAGCAGCATGAGTCTAGTAAACTCCAGTTTATCAGCCAGAATGAATGAAAACACCAATCTTCTAATAGTGAAAGTTTTTTTTTATTGGAATATCATCAAGCAACCCCATGTGGTTTTTGTTGATCAGTCGCTGCTGTTGCCACAAGTGTCAACATTAAAAGGCTAAAATGTAGTGAAACAGATGCGCAAGAACAGAAAAATCAAGCTCACTTCATGATTTATTTACCCAACAACTATTAGCCACTGGTTGTAACACATATACATGGGTATTTTTTAGACTCCCTTTCAAGTTTATACCTCGCTAAGTGTTCATATGCTGTTTTTTTTGCATATGGTGGAAGGTATGTCAGGACCAGAACAAGCACTCAACCCCATGACTGACCATTTTCAGCTTGAAACTGCACCATACCGATGAAAATCAGAACAATAACAGGTTATGATCTCTGGTGTTTCATACATAACAAACCTATCTATGTATCCAATCCTTACATCTTGCAGGTTGGAGCTTTCTGCATCATTGCACAATTTCAGTAAGACTTGGACCCCCTTTCTAGAATATTACAAAAACTGACTCTGAAGAAGAACAAGGTCTTGCAAGGTGTCTCCAATCCATCTGGTGAAGCCTGGAGGTGCTTGTGCTTTCCAGGAAAGTAGTATGAGATGCCTGGCTAGTAGGAGGTGAATGCTATTTCTACATGAGTGTTTAAGTAAAGGAATCTCATGGATATATCCAAAAAAGACACAAGAGATTGGGAGTGATGTCTGTTTGAATCATCTTAGCACCAAAAATGTTGGACCAAAATGTATCAAGTTTCAGATAAGACCAGAGCATATGCATGTGGCCTGCAGGTTGGCCTCAACAACAAGGACATCAAGGTTTAGTATTCAGGAATATATTTGCCAGCCTTGCCCTGGTCGACTGCACCCCAACACAAGTTGTATCGGGTGGTGTCTAGCACAGGGGAAAATCTGAGCCCTTTTAAGGCAGAAATAAGTCATTATATTGGAACTAAGCTTCTAAATATGTAACTTTGACGCACACAGATGAGTTTTTGGGGGTTTAATTAATGGCCGGCGAGGAACCTTCATTCTAAAAAAGAATCAGAACGCGAAAACACAACTGAACCGTAGCATGCCAAACCAACAGACAATGACATAACACTAACCCTCAAGCCAAATAGGCTGTTACCGGTAAATGGAAGGGGGTGGATCATATGTGTGGATGGAATCTGAAGTGTCACTTAAAATAGTGGAAGAGTAACTGTTACAGTTATGTGTAAATACAGAAAAGGTTAGCACCAGCAATATTTTGGCCACCATGGCACACAATTGTCTATTTTCAGGGACTTAAAACTGCGTTGGCACACGGATGAAAGGTCCGTACTGAACAGAAGGAGGCTGCTTGAATTTGAGAGGCACGCATTCACCATGAAGCTCATTTACTGCCACAGAGCTCAGTTTTCCATTTGTAAAATTCCAATTTTCACAAGTTGCAGTATTGCTTTAAGGTTCATTTGTGTCTTGTGAAAAGTAGGTTGTAAGATCTTTGCTGGCTGGGTTGTATTTCATTTTTAACTACTAGGGTTTCTTTTTGAACATCCAGAAATATTGATTGCCCAAAGTCAATTGGTGTTGGGATCCACTTTCATTAAAGTGCTTCCACATACACTTTTTACTTTATGTAGATTTAAGAATGAGAGACATAAACCTGTTTGGCATTGCTTTGATGGTACCACATTGCGTATTTGATATCAGCTTCCTCCAAGTTCGATGGCTGCTGTGTAGCATGAGAAAAAAATTGAAGGGAATGTGATTGCAGAAAAAACTCAATGTTGGCAAAGCTGACCCTGGGAAGTATAAAACATACCCTAAGCTGAGAGAACAGGAAGGAAATCCATCAACAGCAAATAAACCTTCCTCTCAGCAAGCTGCCACCAACTCTCCTGCTACAAACCAGCTTTTTATGTTCAACTTGAACGGCAAAGTTTCATCTATACAGGGTGTATTAGAGTGTCTCAAAGCTTTCCAACAGTGCAGAATCAGAAGACCAACCAAAACATTAACTTACATTTTATCGATCAAAATAGAAAATTACAGTTTTACCTATGGCCACTCTGGAAGTCACTAAATTTATTCAATTAACTCTAGATTTTTACTAGAATATTTAGGGTTTAAAATTAGAGACAGATGTGGCGACATAGACCAATTATTGCCTTTTTTTGTCTACTAAATTTGTTACACTTGCACTTAAAGACCTCCTCTGGAGAAAAGCTTTTTTAAAATTATTTTATCCATATGGTTTTTGGATTTGTTTGTTTGTTTTTGCCATAGCTTCGCATTTCCACTTTGAAATTGCAGTCTGTCGATAACCAAAACAAAGATTCCGACTTTCAGGGTTTTCATAAATTATAAACTTAAGGATCAAATTTCCATCACTTGCAGGATGGGGGTGTCTGTATTATTCTTTGGAGATGGCTTCTGGTTCAAACGTGTATGGATGAATTATTCCAATATTAAAACTTGCCATTGTGTTGCTTCGAGTAGTTTTACAGTGTTTGAGCAGAGTTGTGGGTGAGCTGGTGTGCTTGGGCTGCAGTCAGTAATGGAGGGGTGGGTGGAGATAAAGGTGGAGCCCTGTACAATCTAGATTTACTCCTAGTCTAATTTCAAGGCACGAAGGGATTAGTTTAATAGAAAAAAACAAAAAACATACGACTAGTGATGGCTTGTTAGGTTATCACTGACATCACATGACTTATACCAGTTGTACTGATACTGAATCATAATGCTTTACATAATCTGTTTGATATTGAAAAAAAGTTGCTCTACATTTACTCCCATGGCTTCTTTCCATCCTCAAAACATCACTCGTTGTTCCCTCCAGGTGCCAGAGGGTCACGTAGTCATGCTGTCTTTCCGCCTCTTCGACATGGAGGCTGACCCCACCTGTCGCTATGACTACCTGGACGTCTACAACGGTCACTCCCGCTTGGTGCAGAAGCTGGGACGTTTCTGTGGGACGTTCAGACCCGGTGCCCTCATCTCCACCTCCAACACCATGATGCTGGAGATGGTGTCGGACGACGCCACCGGAGGAAGAGGCTTTCTGGCTTCCTTCAATGCAGGAAAGCCACATATGGAAGGTGTGGACATGGAAACTGATGCTTCAGCTACATGATTTTATCTTTTTCCAAGAGATACACAGCACCACTGTGGCTGCATCTGGTGTTTTTTTTTTTCCCCCAGAAGTTTTCTCTTTCTCCAAAGTTACAAATGACTTTCAAGTTTCATTGAAAACCATCCGAGCATAGCTTAACATATAGATTTCCTTAAACTTCAACAGCAGTGTCCTCTTTTTGACCCCGTCTTCTTTCTTTGCTGCCTCAGAGAACCAGTTCTGTGGAGGACGGCTGACCAAAGAGCAGGGCTCGGTCAGGACACCCAACTGGCCTAACTCCAATTACCCAGCAGGTATCAGCTGCTCCTGGCACATCTCCGTAGAGCCGAGCAATGTAAGCAGATCATATCGCACTTCCCTGTTAAACACATCCGACTTTCTGTGTTGACTAGGTCAGTTATCATCCAGTACGAAGCACTAAATCATTGTCTTTAAGCAAATTAAGACAATTAATTTGTGCCAAGAAATGAGTGTATGTATGTAGTACACTGGTCTTTGTTTTGACTTGTTTACTTATTTGGTCTAAATTGTTATTTGCAGTGATTGCTTGCTCTATATTGCCCTAGGTGTGGTGGTGTTAGCTGATTTGAGCACTATTTGTGTCAAGTCATAAGTAACCTACAAAGTGCTGAGGTTACAGATTACTTGTTGCTGTTGCTTGTGATAGTCCGGCCAACTTCCTGTTGCCAGAACTTGATCCTTGAAACAGACGCCTGCATCCTACCAAGGCCACGCAGCTGTTCCTGCTCCTACCCTTGCACTCAAACACCCACCAAACTAGACAGCCAAAGCTGATAGTCGTGGCAAGACTTTAGCTGTGTTGGCAAGTTGGAGGTGGACATTTTGATGTTTTTTTGGTGTTGAATGAATGATCCATTACTCGTATTTGAAAGTGTTATTTTTAGCTGTCCAGATTACACTTGCAGAGTTTGACATATTCTCAGAACTCCAAGTGTCACCCGAACGCAATGAACTTGATATGTTGGGCCACAAAAATATCTCCTCATTGGATCCTTGTAGCCTGGCAAAAAAAGGATGCATAGCTAGTACACGTTTGAAGGTGACTTTGAAATGGGACAACCTTTCTTGTGCTATTGTGATGCATTTTGTCTTCAAATGCAGCCTTTAAAGAACCCTTGGATGTGTGGATGAAATGCTAACAGCAACTGTCGAATGATGTTGTCATAACCTGGCCAATAAGTCTTGGCAAAAATGGGAAAGGATGTGCAAAATGTCAGAAAAAGTGTTAACTTAGCAATAAAGTGCATGGAGTATGTTCATCAGCAGTATCAGTGGGGTAGCTGTGGATGTTATGCATAGTGTGGTGAGAGGAGCTGTAAGGTGCAGCACCCAAACCAGTGGCTGCAAAACGTGTCTGTAACTATTAGCAGAGCTTAGAGATAGAGAGAGATCCCACTGAGTGTTGGGCCTTTTATAGAGCAGGGTCCATGGCCCACTCAGCCTTTGGCACATCAGTGACTAAAAACAGACTACAGAATATGAGATCCTCCCAGTAGGCCCAGGCTGGCCTACTGGGCAGGGCCATGAGGAGACAAATAAACATCATCCAGTGAGAATCAGTTATCAGCTTGTCTAACTATATGGGCCAAATAATTAGTCCAGATGTTGAACTCTTGTAAAGGGCCAGTTACTGAAGTTGCTTGTGGTTAGTAGCAAACACATTATGTTGCCTTTTTAACATGAGAAAATACTCATGATGACTGGATGACTTTAGCAGTAAAAAAAGGAAAATGCTTTATGTTTAAATAACAGAATTTGTCAAGACTTATCCCTCAGTGTTGCTATGACAGTGACGTGTACCCAATCAGAGTGCTGTGGGTGTGGCATTGCTTAAAAATACAGAGGGACAGAGAGAGGCCACTGCAGCAGAATAAAAGTAGAAAATACAGCACATTTATAAAATTTTAATTAAGAATCAATTTTTTTAAAAAAGAAAAAAAAAGAAAGAAATTTTTTAAAAAATGAAAAAATGCTGAATATTGCATTTAATAATCAGCCTGGCCAGTAATAATCAGTCAATCCCACATGTAAAGTCTGGCCCTCCTACACAACCAATAGGGAAGCTCTTCAGAGGGCCTCACACAGGGAACTGGAGCTGTGTCCCAACCTGAATGTAAATTAAATTGAAAATTTAGCAATAAGCAGTAAAAACTAAGCAAAAAAAAAAGAAAAAAAAAAGTAAAACTTTCAGACAAGCATTTCAAAATTTTCTTAACCAATTGAGGCTTTCTTTAAAAAAAAGCTTATAATATATGAGCGCTCATGGTGTACTTCTACATGGCAGCCATACCTATGTAAGTGAAATGTAGAAGTTAATGACTAAAACAACTGTTTGGCTTACAGCAATTTGCCACACAGAAAAAATACGATCTGTTTCTGTGCCAACCTAGTGAGAGTAACGATCTCAGCCTGCCATCCCCTTTAAAGCTTCCTGGTTCTGTCACCACAAGGTTATATGAAATTGTTAAATTTGAGTATTTGAGTCTGTTCGGTTGACTCAGATAGCCCCTTTCTATTTAAAGTGTTTGGCTTCTTTCAGCTGAAGCAGAAAAGACTTGTTGCAGCAGCTGTGGAAATCATGTAAAATTGTTGCCAACTGTGGTGTGAGGTGCATCAATACACAAGATCAGCTCACAACACAAAGTTCAATACATTTTTAAGTTAATAAGAGCCTTAGAAGAGACATTAGAAGTGACATAAGTATTGTGAAACTGTGCCGCCTCCAAAAGTGTCCCACACAGCACCTCTGGCAAACACCACGTTAGCTCACTGCTAAATTTCTTTCATAATAGTGTGCAAAATAATCAAATATTTCATAAAAATGTGAAATAATGTGCACAGCAACTCCAACACCCATCTAAATATTAGAAGGAATCTAATTTCAGTTCGGCTGTATGTGCAGCTAGGTGTGTCGAACACCTTGTGCTGGTGGAGAAAGAGTGAAACTAGTCGTGAAGGGGCCCATCACAAGGAAATGCTGTACCTCAGGTTCCCAATGTTGTGATGAAGTTCAAATGAAAGACCTCATTGAGCGCCTGCAGGCGTGTTCGTGTGTGCCAAGAGATTGAACTTAAGGAAAGAGGGAAGGAAGCAAGGGCGAGAGAGAGAGAGGGAGTAAATGCCCTTCTGTATTTCAGAAGTCCAGCGCCTCCGCCTCTCCATGTCTGCACTGTACTCAGTTCATGAAATTAGTCAGGGATAAGCGTGGCATGATTCCCTGTCAAAATAAATTTCATAGCTTGTACTGCCACCTCTTTTCCAGGTGATCGAGGTGAAGTTTGAGAAGCTGGATTTGGAGTCCGATACGTACTGTCGTTATGACTACGTGGCGTTGTTTAACGGGGGAGAGAGCGACGACTCGAGGAGGATCGGGAAATTCTGCGGTGATAGACCACCAGGGTGAGATTACTGTTTTGAAATGGATTTAAAACAAAGCTAAATATTTTGCTTTTTGTAGATGTGACAGACAACTTTGCCAAAGTTTCTCCACTGACTAACACCTGTTTCCCCTTTGCATTTCTTCCACCTGTTCTTCTTTACAAAGAACTATAGTGACAAATGGTAATGAGCTCCTTGTCCAGTTTGTGTCTGACCTCAGCGTGACCTCAGATGGATTCATGGCCTACTATTCCAGTGTGCCCCGTGGGTCCCGAAGACCCACCGCTGGAGGTGATTTCATCTTCAGACCTCAGACCACCTCCCTGCCACAAAAACCAACGGCAAGGCCAAACAAACCTACCAAACCCACCGCTAAACCAAGTCCCAAACCAATTCCCAAACCAACTCTCAAACCAACTCTCAAACCAACAGCCAAACCAACTCTCAAACCCACTGCCAAACCAACTGCCAAACCCACGGTCAAACCCACGGCCAAACCAACTGTCAAACCAAGACCTGGCCTTGTGGTTAAAGCCACCCCAAAACCAATCAAAAGACCATCGGGGAGGACGCCCCTGGTTAAAAAACCTCTTCTGCGCAGACCTACTGCTAAGCCTGGCATCAAGCCAACACTTAAACCCAAACCGGCTAAACCCACACCTAAGCTACCTGTGAAAAAGCCTACACCTAAACCTGGAGCTAAGCCTACACCAAAAACTAAGATTGTTAAGCCAACGCTCAAACCAAGAATTCAAGCTAAACCCACGCATAAACCTGCACTGACGACCAAGCCCACTGTAAAGCCAAGCGTCAAACCAGTGAAGCCGACCCCTAAGATTAAAGTTAAACCAACAATCAAACCTAAGATAAAGCCTAAGCCATCACCGAAACCAGGATTAATCAAGACTGTGACGAGGAAGCCTGCAGTGAGCAAGAAACGTAAGTGAAATTATATGGTTTAAGTGCATAATCTGGCCTCCGTGTATCTAAGTGTGCACACCTGTAGTAGAAAGCAAGTGTATGTTATCATTTGCTTGTGTGTTTACTACAGCTATACCGCTAAACCCACTGTGTACACAAGCCTGTAAGAGGACGGGAACTCTCCAGTCCAACTTCTGCCCTCATGACTTTGGTGAGTCACAACACGAGCAACCCCTTCGTCATTTTATTTACACTGTGAAACATGCCTTTTTTTTTGACTTAATCCCAGTTTTCCCAGCAATAGATTTTAATTTGAGAAACAGATTTTGCTTTTATTCATGTATGCATACCTTTTTACCCCATTAGGAATTACATCTCTGCCTTTTTTTTTTTAGCTCAGCAATTTCTCTTTTTGTTCATACATTTTGATCTCTCTTTCAGTAATTGCTGGTAAGGTTACAGGTTTGAGCCCCGGCCCTGGGGGTTCTGCAACAATCGAGGTGTCACTGATCAAGGCCTATAAGACAGGACGCCTCAACATCTCCAAATCAGGACCAATCATGTCGGTCATGCTGACCTCCACCTGCAAGAGATGCCCTGGGATAACCAAAGGTATGTTACAGTGCTCTGTATTTACAGTCTTTGACCTGCTCTGCATTTTACATGAATATTTCCATACACTGTACTAGGAATGGGCCAAGTTCTTTTACACCTTCTTTTATCAAGGCTGCATAAATCTCAGGTGTATTGATGAACGCGATGTATACAGTGTGTGATACTGTAACTATACCGCTGCATTAGCAATGCACAAATAGGCATGCTTTGCAGATATAACACTCCATCAGCTGAGAATCTGTGTCATTCAGAGAATCTTCAGGAAACAAAAGGGAAACGCGCTTTCCAGTAAAGTTAAATCCAAACCTCTGAACATAACCAGCTACCAACCAGGTTAGCTCAACAGAATAAGTTTACCGTGGAGATTTAGCCAGGTAACATATCTCCATAATGTTTACGAAACTGAAAAGTATTTTACTGATGTTTGAATATCAAACAAAAGGAACCCATCTGATATCTTATTCTGCTCTGAGGTTGTGCTTGTTCATGCCAGAGAGGAGTTGTTGGTGTCAGAGGGAGCCGCCTTTGTGAGACTGAAAACTCTGACTTTAGGTTCAACATATCCCGCTAACCCACAAGTCTTGCTTTGTAGTGCAGCTGTAGTGTTGTTTCCTCCCTCCAGAACACAAGAAGATATCTAAGGTCATAAATGGGGAAACCAGCAAAAACTACACACTCAAAATGGGGTTAAAAATGAATCTAAAAGGTGATAGTGAGATCTGTCCCAACTACCACCTATTGAATCTATCAAAAGGATAGAACGACTAAAAATGACACGAAACACAACTTATGTGTTTTTTTTAAAGAGGTTGTTTGAAGAAAGAACAACTTAATTCTCACATTCACACACTCAAACTCAACATTCCCAAAGAAAGCCAGCTGATGGTGCTGAACCTTCTGAGCCCCACTCCCAAGTGAGACGAGCCTCAAACACCTCTCTTTATATAACCTCCCAGTCAGGCTGATTACCAACAGCCAACAGCCGAGCTCTACTTCACAGGTGCAGCAGATCTACCTGATGAACAAGGTGGAAAAAAAACCCCCTTCATATCAATCCATAGCACTGGTGTTTGTCACATTCTAATGCTTTTTCTTTATGTTTCTTATCCAGGCCTTAACTACGTGTTGATGGGAAAAGTGGACGAACAGGGCAACGGCCACCTCGCCCCCTCCAGCTTCACTCTCCTCTACAAGCCCATCCACGCCAAAGCACTGGCCGCCCTTTCTCGCAAATCCTGCTGACACAACAGCCCGATCGCATTCGGAGCTCTTCAAAGAATTTCACTTTACAATAAAAGAAAATGAAAATATTATCAGCAATAACCAGCAAGATTTTTTTTACATGATATTGTTGTGAAAAGCAGTAAACATTTTAAACATGAACTATTACTTTTTTTGTATTTTGTATGTAAATTATATTATATATTAATTATATAATATTTCTGTGTTAAAAGGTGCATAATAAACACAGTGGTTGGATTCATATTAGTGTCTCTTTTCTGTTTCTTTCAGGCCAGGTGGGTTTTTGAGTTGGCAAACATTAAGTGATCATCTTTAGTTTGTGGTTTTGATGTAGCTGTGGTCACAAATTGAGCATATCTACAATGAAAAACAAAAAGAAATGCATGTTTGCTCTAAACAATCAGTAGGGACTCATCATGTCATCAATGTTTTTCTCTGTGGATTTCTAGTAGAAGAAGGAATGTTTAAGAGAGGTTATTTCTGTAAGCTGTCATTAGTTTTCTAGCTGTGTCATAGCAAAGATGACGCCTCAGTTCTTACTCCCGCCCGCAGAGCTCTGATTGGCTCGGCAAAAGCTGCTCCTGACCTTCATTCCAGGCCTGTTGGAATCAATAGAAAATCTATTAAACTAATCATATCACTTCAGAGGGTTGAAACATCTATATGCAGGAGACACAGAAGGGCATAAACACAGATTTGGTCCACTGCTTCGAGGAAAAATGTCATTTTTGTTTCCATACCAGGGACATTGAGCGGTTTGTTCTCCACGATCAATAGCCTCAAAGAAAACGTATTAGTGCAGTTTTAAATGGTTGTATTAGTGGATTAGTTATGGCCAGCCTTTGAACTTTACACACACTTCAAACCTTAAATTTACCATCTTAATTCAATTTGTTCATCTTAAGTTATGCTTGCAACAGTGTTTGGACATTATGTAGGTCAAGTTGGTAGTGGTGGAAGAAGAGTTTAAATAAAAGTACCTACAACAACTCCTTTACAAGTAAAATCCTGCATAAAACAAGTCCTACTTAAATGAAAGTACAGCAAAATTAGCAGCTAAATGTAGTTAAAGTGTTGAAGTACTGTTTTGACTTCTGTATTATTGTCTATGGCATAATTAGATTGTTAATAGTGAAGCATCAGTGTGTCAGCAACATGTTACTTGCTGGATTTTTTTCTCTAACATTGACATTCATTTGAATATTTTGCAAAATAAACACCATGTAAGAAGAAAAATCACTGGTGGAGCTTTTAATGACTCATATACTTCTAAATTCACACTGCTTCATGTAAGAGGCCCAAAAGGTTGGAAACCACTGGTTCAATAAAGCTTGTTATATTAAGCTTTGTGTATAATTGTCATCTTAAAAGCTACTCAAGCTGTCGCAAATCAAATCAAGTTTATTGTCATTTTGCTAAACATACACAAGATAAAAGAGCCTTTCTTCACGGTCCAGTAACTTAGAGCAATTTAAATAAAGTAGTGTTTGCATATCTAGATCATTCTGACGGCTTGTGGAATGAAGTTGATAATCATTCTGGAGGTTAAATGTAAAATTAAAATGTTAAATGTCGTGGAGTGGTCGTAAAAAAATACTTCAAGTGTCTCAAAACTGTACTTAAGTGCAACACTTGAGCAAATCTTCTTTTCACTGCTCCTCTTTATTGGTCCACAATGCAAACTGGTAGTGTTTTATTGCATCTGTTTTCATTGTTCATACAGTAGATGAAGTAGCCTGACATTACTTAAAGATACAAAGAACTGTGACCCAGTAGCTTCCACTTCACTTGATATCTACAGATCTTAGCTTTAAGCCAACTGCTAAGAAAAAGCATCAACATTTCAAATAACGCTTCATTCAGTCAGTCTCAATAACTGAGTGTTGTTCAAGTGCAATATCTACTTTGCTGTTTTAGCTCACACATGGTTGCACAGTATTTATTATGATTTCATCGAAAGCTGCATCAGTTCATTTTTGCCACAAGGGAGCAGAAGAACACCACAAGTTGACATTGGGCTGTGAAAATTCCCCTTGTGTATTTGTGAATTCTCTGATCAATTTAAGAGATTTGACATTTCTAAAAAACAACTGCCTGCTGGTGTTAGAAATGAAGAAAAACTTTTTTAACCAAAGATCCAAGTACATGTGCGAGACCCAAGTGATGAGCAGGGAAGGACCACGTAGAGATTTGTATTTGAAGAAGGCTGCAAGGTGCCTCGCCTCGCAGCAAGAAGGTCGCCGGTTCACATCCTGGTCAGGACACCTTGGATCTTTCTGCGTGGAGTCTCCATGTTCTCCCCGTGCAGCAGGTTCTCCGGGCTCCTCCCACAAGGTCCAAAAACATGTTGAGGTTAATTGGTGATTCTAAATCGTCCATAGGTGTGAATGTGAGTGTGCTTGGTTGTCTGTCGCTAAGTGTAGCCCTGTGATAGACTGGTGACCTGTCCAGGGTGTCCCCTGCCTTCATCCTGAGTCAGCTGGGATAGACTCCAGCCCCCCATGACCCTAGTGAGAATTAAGCGGTGTATAGATAATGGATGGATGGAAGATACAAGGAGATGTGATGCTGCCTTGCATAGCGATTGCAGTAAACTGTAGCCACAAAGACAAAAAAAAAAAGATCACTTGCCACAATAATCATATATTACACTCTGTTTTAATGTGGTAATTGGAACCTGGTTCTGGTTTCCTTCTATATATACTAAATTCTGAGATAAAATGAGAAAGTGCATTTCTCACCCACAGACAGCCAATGGCTGCAATGGCCAGGATGAAGAAAATCACAAGACACACCCTGAAAGACGACGTTTTTAGTGTGATTTTTAACCGCAAACAACACTATTAACCAGCTGACTTTGATTTAACCGAAACTGTGCAGGAAGTTTGCACACCGCTCTCACCTGTTACTATTATTAGAGCTCAGCAGGTGGATTGAGGTTGTCTGTGGTGTCATAAGTAGTAAGAAATCTGACCTACAAAGACACAGAGAGAGATGGAACCAGTGCATCAGATATCTGCATTAAAAGATAAAGCTGATAAGCAAAAAAGCTGCCAGAGGGATAACAAACCAAAAAAATAAAGTGCTCATTCATGAAACAGAAATGCTAACAAACTGCAGTCTTTCATAACGACCACAAAAGCCCCACAAAGAGTTTCCACTAGTACAACATGCTAAAATGTATTTTATCAATCTACTGCATCAGAGAGTTTCTACCCAATTTGTGTGTCTCACAGGAAGCTTCTGACTTGAAGGGAGGGAAAAGCGGTTTCCCACAAGTGCTGATAATGTAAATATTGTTATCGTGAGTGTGTTTGCTGTGGATTTCTATTTATTGTCTGTTGCTTTATTTCCCTTTTTCATTACGAGGAGGATTCATTCGTCCCTTCATGGTATAAAACCAGTGTTTCAGACAGTTCTGCATTTTTAGTTTGAACGAGACACACTCCAGAAAGAAAAGCACTGACTTCTCTTCTTAGAAATGAAAAGCTGCTGTGAAAAGCAATAAAACTCAGAGTTTTGCTGCTGCAGTTTTACTTCATCTATAAAAGTGTATATAAAAGTTGCACATTCTGTTCACTATCCTGTTTACTTTTCGCCTTGTATATATATTTTTTGCACTGTTCTATCTATCTATTGTGTGTTTTTATTCTTTATTCTTCTTGTAATTATCGTTTCGGCCTGGAACTGGTGCCCATTACATTTCACTGTGCATTATACTGTGCATAATTGCATTTGTGACAAATAAAGGTCTTGAATCTGGAATCTAAAAGTTGAATACAGCCTACAGGTTAAAATAGTGAAGCCAATGTGCAAGTGTCTTAAACCTGCATTCTTTCCATCAGCCAGCAGGAGGCGCCTCCCTTGGCTGCAAAAGGAAATTCAGTTGTAAAGTAGTCTATGAGAAAATGGCCCTACTTCTCATTTATTTTATTGCCTCAGCAAACATTTCCCTAATGAATTTGTGGTCTCAGTTGTTAGCTCAGCTCTCCTTCCAGACAGCACGATGGTCATTTGGTAAACACTGATTCAATGTAGCATAAAACAGAAATAAAATGGTATACTGTGGCAACTTAGCACCAGAAAACATGCAGATGGAGGCGGCGGAAAAGGTTAAGGAATATTTATTGATAGGGGCAGGGGTAAAGGGGAATTCCTGGGGAACCGGGGCGTGAAGGTCCGTGGTGGGGAAACCAGTTCGTCGGGGTGCAAGATGGGGTCCACTCCAAGGTGCAGGTGCTCCGGGGGCTGTGAGGTGGAAGTGGTGCGGGGGTTGGTGCAGTGAATCTTGCTGGTTGGTGCTGGTGGGGTTCTCCGTGCGGGTTGGACAGGGATTGCTGGTGAGCCAGTGGAGGCAGTGCTGGAACGGGCAAAAAAAGACAACGAGGCTAGCGAAGTCACAAGACTGAAAAACACAAGAGTACTCAAGACTAGTAGAATTGAGCGGCCACGGTACCACGAGGGGCTGAACAATCATCTGGCACTGGAGCACACGTGAAGTCAGGCTTCAACCAGTGGCTGATGGGACAGGTGAGTGACGAGCTCTCCCCCGCCCAGCCTGAAACACAGCAGCACAGAGAACCCACAACACAGACACCAACTGGAATGTGCACAAAATACAACAGAGACCAGAATCACCACAGTACACCTTGTGATTGAAGTGACTACCATATGGGCTTGTGTGAAACTGGTCGCTTGCAAGGGGTGAACTTGTTTGGAGATGCTAAACTTTGCTCATTTAATTTCTGCTGAGCTCAGAAATCATTGCTGTAGTTTCTATTTCTGTCGTCTTTACTTTGAATCTTGTGGCCTTTCTCCAGGCCTCTGAAAATAGTTTAGTGATTTACAGGCTGAGCTGGTGTAGACTTACTGCACATTAACATTCGAGCTGCGACTGTGGGTTGCAAGTAAACATACTGTTACTGTAACTCTGTTGATCTCTGCAGTGTTGTGAGAAGGGCGTCATGTGGAAACACCAGGGCGACATCTAGTGGCGTAACAATATTATTGCTGTATAGTCTTAAGCTTTTGACATTGTGGGGCTTTTTTAAACCCTCGTATTATCTTTGGGGTCAATTTGACCCCACTCAGTGTTCAATGTCTCTAAATGGGGACAACTGGG